GAGCGCAGAGGAGGCGCAGTCCTGCAGCAGCAACGACACCGACCTACTCGGTTAAATGCTTTAAGAACTACCCATAAAGACCGTACAGGACAGCTGGCCTGTTACTGGTATTCATGCCAAAGGCAGGGCATAGAATCATAGAATAGTTTGGGTTGGAAGGGACCTCTAAAGGTCACCTCGTCCAACCCCCCTGCCCTGGGCAGGGACATCTTCAACTAGATCAGGCTGCTCAGAGCCCCGTCCAACCTGACCTTGAACGTTTCCAGGGACGGGGCATCCACCACCTCTCTGGGCAACCTGGGCCAGTGTTTCACCACCCTCAGCGTAAAAACTGTCTTCCTTATATCTAGTCTAAATCCAGCCCCCTTCAGTTTAAAGCCATTCCCCCTTGTCCTGTCGCAACAGGCCCTGCCAAAAAGATTGCTGCCATCTTTTTTAGAAGCCTCCTTGAAGTACTGACAGGCTGCAAGAAGGTCTCCCCGGAGCCTTCTCTTCTCCAGGCTGAACAACCTGCGAGTTGACTTGGGAGTAAGCTGGAAGGGCAGAAGTCTAAGGTATGTAAGAGGCTTGCAGGAAAACCAACCTGAATGAAATTGCCTGTAAGTGACAGGATTATTTGCACAGTTAGGACTAAACCAGCCCTGCACAGGCGTTAACCAAATTCTGCCTCACTTCTATTCGTCCAGTTCTCAAGGTCATCTGGTTTCTTCTGCACGGCATCCCAAATCTTTGCTGTGTTAACAAAGCCCAACAGTGTTTTGTGAAAAGTTTCTCAACGCACCTAATGTGCCAAAGTCATTACAAAAACCGCATTCAAAAAGACTGTTCAAAGATTTCATCTTGGAGCAGCTCTGCCATGACCTCTCCCCAGACTGGAGCAACCCTCCAAAAACTAACTGTTGTCTCTGCTTTAGCCAGTCCCTCCCCCACAACTCTCGTATTAATCCTCATCTTCTCCACTTTCATTTATGATTTTCCATGTGGCAGAGTATCAAATGCTTTGCAGAAGTCCAGACACATTAGATACACCCCCATTCCTTTATCCAGAAAAGGATTTCATGTCCAGAGGAGAGGTGAGGAGGTACAACCAGTTTTTGGTAAATCTATGTTGTATTTTATCCCATTTCCATTTACTTCTATGGCTTTAGTTATTCTCCTCTTCAGAATCATTTCCAAAGCTCTTCAAACCATCAAGGTCAGACTAGTTAGTCATTAATGCTCCTCTTAAAACCAAATAGGTTATACAAAGGAGGTTAAGCATCTTTCCTGGGGTGACTGCTTACGTTGCAGAAAGGGGACGAGGGGCCTCCTGTTCTAAATCCGGCTTCTCCCTCACCGTTACGGGATGCCAACACAAGGATCTCAGCTCCCCAGACTGGAAGAAGTCCCCCCCCCGAGCTGAAATTCCCCTGTTGGACACCTGCTTGCTTTGCCTGCTGGAACCACACTCGGTGTTAACGATGCGACCCAACGGGACGGCGCAGGAGTTGGACCACTTCCCAGCAGTTATCGGGGTTTGTTGAAAGGGAAGAAACAATGCAGGCAGATCTCTTCACGAGGTAGTGCAAAAGTTATGACAGCAAATGAAATACAGCTCGTCTTGCATAATTTTGGTATATTTTTATCTTGATGTGTTCCAAGTCTAGTTCAGACAGCATCAAACATTTTAGCACAGAGCAGGTTGTTTTGTCAAAAGCCTCAGCTCTCCCTAAGAGGGGGACAACATGAAGTCAAATTGACTCATGTAACACTAGACA